AAAAATGCTCTTGAACTAGTCACAGAGTTGCACTGTTGCAGAAGACCAATCGAGAATATGAATATCCAAACTCAACATCTTTACCAAAATGTAAGTTATTTTACTTCGAAACAAGGAAAAACTACATTGCTCAAAACCGAATTCAAATAACGATGGCTCGTATAATCGAACCTTTATGTTTCCACTTATACTGAAGCTTCCCAACCTCAAGAAACTTAGCTAGCTCACGACCACATTCTGAAGCACGGTCAAATTCGACTCGTATCTCTTTCAAGACTTCCAAATCGCCTTTGAAGTCACTACGATCCTTGACTTTCAACTCATCCTGACCATCAGTCTCACTCTTAAAACCCACATTCTCAAAATCCTCACCGTTCCCCACTTGGCCTTCATTAAAGTAACCGCCTTTTTCACCACCCACCGAACTCCGGCCACTGTGAACTTCCTTCACGACCTCACCATTCTCATCCTCCAAGTCTGGTATACCTTCTTCTTCCCCGGCCGCCCTCGAGCTATCAGGGCCCAGCTTATCACCAGAGTAATCATCCTCAAAGGTCCCAAAAGGGTTCAGAAAATCCCAAGCCGAGCTTCTCGGTGGGGACGGCGGAGGTGGCGGATCTTTCGAACTCGAAGATACAGCCATGGCCGACGAATAGCTTCCATGACCGTTTTCTTGCAAATTATAATTGGGATTATCAGCATAAGCAGAGGATTGACGAACCAGTATAGTTTCTGGGATTGCCGGCCGGTGATTGCGCAGCACAGACGGCGTCGTTTGGTTTTTCATGTATCTCACATTCGTAAACCGCCGGACAGGCTCGTCGGGAGGGTGGAACCCATCGCCGTCCGAGTCGGAATCATCGAAAACCAGGTCCGAACCGGAGTCGGAGCGAGAGTGGAGATGGTGATGGGTTTCGACTGGGGGCGAACCGGGCGGCTTCTTCCCCGTCCCCCGAGGCGGGAGGTTGAGAACCGGAGAGGCCGGTCCGCGGGCGGCGGCGGGGTTGGAGTCTAGGTCGAAGAACTGGTCCAGAGAGAGGCCAATGGCTCTGAGGGATTCGAGATATGCGGCGTGGGCCTCGGCGAAGGCAAAACGGTGTCGTATGGCCTCGTCGAGGAAAGCGCGGCGGTCGCGGCACAGAGCCACCGCCGGCGTTTCGTCGAGCTTGGAGGCGGCGCAACCCATCAGTAAAGCTCACGGCGACGGAATTCAGCGGCGGAGATTGGAAGAGTAGATTTTTAGGGGTCGAAGGAAA